ATTTCACTCTATCCCTAAAAGACTTTCCCTGCATGAGCTAATGCAGAGATGGACCTTGTACATCCAGTGGCATGCAAAGGGGTTACTTTTGCTTTAAAAAAAAAAAACAAACAGTATGAAAATCAGATCTGCTTTTTTTCATGCTGGTCTCCCCAGGTACATGTCTGCTTGTAGACCTGCATGTGTAGCAAACATATATTTAGATATGGGTCAACCAAGAATTTACAGCCTGCTGCCAAAATTGTTCTTTTTTTTTTTTCTATTCCAAATCCTTTTAAGACATTCACTATAAGCATGCTGAAGTCTTTTGTAGACATTCTGTAAAACTTCAGACCAGATTCCTCTGCAGGATCAAATCCCTCAAGCTTTCCTAAATCTTTATGTACTCTCCTCAAAATGATTTTTTTTCTAACAACTTTTAAATGAAAATTCTTCCTGATCAAACTCTAGCAAAGATATGGGATACTATGAACTGATTTCTGAGTGAAATAAATCCCTGTTGATGTCAGTAGGAGATCTCATTAAACTCTTCTTTGTCATTTAATATTTTGACAACACAGAAATGTTCAAATGAATATGATTTGACTATTTGTACTATATATAATTCTAATTATCAAGATCTTTCTTTGACTATTTTTAAAAGCAAAAGTATAAAATGTGCTTCTCTTCTTTGAAAGCATTATTTGAGGAAACATCTCAGCCATAAAGATCTAACAAGAATTTTTAGTTCAGTGATTTTTTTAAAGGAAAAAAAGATGAAGCAAACTGAAGTAAGTTTAGCTTTTATAGAAATTATTTTCTCAAAGGACAACACTTCTGATGATGACAGCTCCTGCAGATTTACCACTTCATTCCCTACTGAAACACACAGAGAATTGTAATTTATGCAAGTCTCTTGACAAAATTCTATAGTTTGGTAATTGCAAACCAAAATACTATTAACAGACATACACAGATAGGACCAGACTTTCCAAATTGGACATAAATTGTTCTAGTAAACCTAAAATGTAGATGTATAAAACAGGAAGGATGACTTTGTAATGAAGCTCTGGACTGGAACCTAGATTAAAAGTGTACATGCCACTTCTGTGTTCTGATGAACAGATCATCATGACTCAGCTTCTGTTTCCTGTCTATAACACCTCTATAGCTAGATATATCTTAGTATATTCAGTATCTTAGAAGGATGTGGTGGAGATTTAAATGTAACTATTCTGGGTACTCTGAGTTACATAGTTTAACCAAGAGTGACAGCTAGTACTCTTAAAGTCATGCAAGAAACTCTCACTTAACTTTTAAAGGAAGACTGGTGCCTATGGAGATAGACAATATGTATTTTCAGTAGGATTAGTTATATAGCTGATGAAGGCATGCAGTACCATGGGCACAAGTTGAATGATATCATGATAATTCTGATAGTTCACAACAGCTGTCAAACTTGCTGAAATATGTTTATCTAAGCTAGTTCTCCATGGTGACTTTTTACACATAAGTCTGAAAATCAGACTGGTCTGTTCAAGAATAGTAGTGTAGAGATGTAATCAACCCAAGAAAGATGGTTATGTGGGCATGTTTAACATGTTTTTGTTGTTGTTTTGTTGTTTCTTTTTTTTTCAGGTTGGGTCTCAGCTTCAACAGTATTTCTTCAGTTGAAAATGGCTCTCTTAACAATGTACCTCATCTGAGAGAGCTCCATTTGAACAATAATGAACTTGTTAGAGTACCTGGTGGGCTGGGTGACCACAAATATATTCAGGTAAATTTTATCAGACTGCCTCAGAGACCAATAGTTGAAAGACTCCAAATGGTATTTGTGTGGTTGTTTGTTCTTGAACAGAAACATATACAGTATATCTGCAAAAGGTAACTTGATGCAGGCTTCATAAATTGTTGAACTGACATGGAAAAGTTGCATAAAAAAGGAAGACTCCTACCTGATTTTTGTGTGGATGTGGCAATGGAGGTGTATACATCTGGAAATGTGCATTCATGATCTCTGTTCACCTGAGGGGACACATCAAATAAGGGATTGTATTGGTACTTTGATTTCCTTTTTAATCAAAAATTGCTTGCAAAAAGCATATGTTATGTTGATTTTTTTTTCAGTTCTGCTCAGTGACATTTTGCAGCCTTTCCCAAGAATCTTCCCTTTGGTACCTCACAAAGCTGTGCCTTCCGTAGTGCAAAAAGGTGTAATAAGCATTTTACATGAGTAGTATTTTTGAGGTCTGTGTGGCTGGGTAGCTAGAAATGTGGCCTCTTAGAACCAATTAAAATCTGTCTTCATTTGGACTAAGATTTTACAGGAAAGAAAGCTCCCAAAGAATGAAGATTCCCAAATGTAAATCACCACTCGCATATAGCTTGGAAAATTCATCAGAAATGGTGGCTCTGGAGCAAAGAAATAGTCTTCAGCTATTGTAAACCATCAGTGATTGTTTTGGCTCTGAGTCTTGTACACTTGCACTCATGAGAGTGAAAGCATTACAGCTGGAAAGAGACCAATTAGCACCAAATACATTCTTTATATACAGCACATGCTTCTGAACCACAGCACTGTATTAATAATTCCACATCTTTGACTCTTGGTTACAGTTTAATCAAATGATAGTAGTGTTCTTAGACTGCCTTGCACAGTTTCTGCTCTTTCTGTAGAAATTACTTTGAATTTGGTATATTCTAGGTGTTTCAAAAGGTAAGCAGAAGCATCCATTTGGAAAAAAAGGAAGTATCATTACTCCGTATAACATTCCATGATACACACCAAGTATTTGACATTAGCTCATTCATCTCATTTGCCATGGGAGCTCTATCTCTCACTTCTGCACTTCTATCCTTTTCAGGTGGTCTATCTGCACAACAACAAAATTGCTTCAATTGGTATCAACGATTTTTGCCCTCTTGGCTACAACACCAAAAAGGCGAGCTATTCTGGTGTGAGTCTCTTCAGCAACCCCGTGCAGTACTGGGAAATCCAGCCGTCTGCTTTCCGGTGTATCCATGAACGCTCTGCAGTACAGATTGGAAATTACAAGTAGATGTCTAAAGATGGGGTTCGGTTGTGTTTCAGCTAAAGTACCTGTTGTAATAGGCCTGTTCAAAAAATTGTTGCTAACAATTAACACCAAATATCAGAAACTTCACTTTATAGTGGAGATGATCCGTTGATGTAGAATAAATGAATCATTACAGATGTACAAGACCAAGCATACCATCAAAAATAATTGCCATCTGTGCTTTAAACTGACTTATTTCAGCCTTCTCTTCCAGCATGCTTTCTGTGGTATTTTTCAGTTTGCTGAATGCTACAGGTTTTCAGATTCCACTGTATATGAGATTCGGGGTAAATATTTGTCAAGTTATGATATTAAAGAAAAAAAAAAATGTTTGAGGTTATTTTTATAGCCATACACAAAGAAAAATAAGTGTAGAGGGGAAAAAAGTTTTGAGACTTGAGAAGGTGAGAGTTACCTCCTTTAAATTTATTTCAAGCCCTGGAGGTTTAAAAGTATCCACTATAATACTAAGCTAATTCTGAATGTATCTATTTAGCAAAGGCAGATAAAGTTGTTGCTAATGCTATTATTTTGGGAAAAATTAAATAAATTCACATTGTACACATAGTTCTTTAAAGTCTGCCATTCTTGTAGAGCAATGCTATTCAGGATTAACCTAACATAATCCTATTGAACAAAATAATGAGTAGTCTGCATTACAAAACCTGTAACCTATTTCTGGAGCTCAATGACTAAAGTTCTCTAGGTTAAATCCCTCTCACCTTAGTCACAAGAGCAGTCTTAATGACTTCAGTGAGATTGCTTTGAAGAGTATGGTATTAGGGTTTAGTCATTGGTATCAGTCAATGTATGTATCCAAACCAAAAATAAATAATAGCAGTTCACTGTTCACTTGTTCTGCATTGTACATTTGTCAGCATCCTTTCCTGTTTTTATTTTTTTTAAACAATGTTTTTAATTGTCAAGTAGATATGTGGGCTCCCTATCGATGAATCTGATTATAAGCAAAATCATAAGTGTAGCAAAATATGAAGCAAAATAACTACAAGGCCTAGCTGGACATTGCTGGGACATCATTCACAGAAGTATCTTCTTAGAGTAATTTGAAGCCCTCTGCAAATTTGGATTATTGAACCCCTATCAGGGGGTAGCAAGTACATCCAAAGTAGGCTGCACATTTCTACTGTCAATCTACAAAGCTAAACATATACTCAATAAAAAATGTCACCTAAAAAGGATCTTCTGCAGCCTCTTAATATTCCAAGATCAATCTCTCTAATTTGTAAAACTTATATGTCATTTATATTAAAGAATAATGTAATACAGGCAAACTCTGAAGTGTTTGTCTTTATTTTTTGTTTTGAATAGCATAACATAGTGTGTCAGAACTTTAGTTACAATTAAGCCTTGAAAACTGAACATTTTTGTCATGGTGATAGCTAAAGTAAGAACAAGTTGAGTGAAATTCTCTTGCCTTAAGAAACTCTTTTCATGACTAACACTCAGGTATTTTTTTTGTAAAAAAATAACATATTCTTTTTATAGCTGTCATTTTTTTCAGGTGGTAAATAACTGTAAACAATTATGAATGACTAAAAGATTTATGCAGAAAAAACATGTTTTCACTCTTCTTGGCTATCTTCATATAGTAGCCAATGTTTTCTTCCATTTGCATCTTTTTGTTCTTCTGTTTTTCACATTTTCTGAGTGATATTTTTAAATAAAACTAACAGTAACATGGTATCTTTCTGTCACCGAAGGGAAAACCCTCCAGAAAATCAGCGGTTAGATTTTTTTTCTTTTGGTTCTTGGTGGGATATCTGCTATTCAGAGAGTGACTTCATGCAGAAAGCACTGGCTTTTCAATAGGGAAGAAAGGCATTGCCTTAGCTTGAACAACTCCCAAGGGTTTGTGCATACACGGTTCAGATTAGAAGATACAGATACAATTTACAGGAAGAGATTTATACAATAAATAGTAACAATTGCTTATTACATAAAACTTTATATGAACATATACACAAACTTCCCATTTCTCCCACCATGGTTTTAAAGTCTCTCCATGCAAGGGCTTCTCTTTCAAACCAGAAACAAGTTTATAACCAGAAGAAAAGATCCAAGCCTGGTCTTCCTCTGCATGATGTGTCCCACAACAAGCTTGCTGCCCTCTGTGCTACAGCACAAACTGTTCTTTATAAAACACATTCCCCACTAACAGCTAAGGGCTGCAAAGACAACAGGACTTTCCTGAGCCCCAGTCCTGTGCAATAAAACAGAATAAACATAAACCTATAAGATGAGACCTTAGCAAGAGCATGACAAATGCAAAAGGTAAACACACTGTTACTTCTCCCTAAATTGTGCAGCCATAGCTACAAAGTCTGACTGATGTGGCCCTATCCACGTACCGCATCTGCAAAGACTTCAAAGCACTGGGAAGCCAAATACTTTTAAAACTGTTTTTCATATAAATACAGAACAGATGGCTTTTCCACTTAAAAACAAAACAAAACAAAAGCAAGGGGAAAAAAAAAAAAAAAGCCCAAACAAACTATAAACAGTTGTGAGGAAACAAATAAAAGAGTTGAAGTAGAAAGACTTTGGGCCCAACAGTGTGTCTCCAATCCCTCCATAAAGTACGGAGATGGTAAACAGACACAACTGTAGAACTCAAATACATACAGGAATAAACTCCCTTCTTCCTGGTGCAACTAAAGGCATCTTCACCCTTCCTGCATCCCTGGGCCCAGAGGGGTCACTGCAGGCAAGGGTGTGACCATCTCTTGAGTGTGAGAATAAACCTTCCTAGAGGGCCTGAAACAAAGCATATCATAATATTTGGAAAATTCAAGCTGGTGTAAACAAGATATATGAGAATAAAAAGGGTGTAGTGACAGATCCTCAGATGCAAGAATGATGGAAGAATTGAACTGGAATACAGAGGCTTCTTGTTTCTTCCACCTAAGATAAAATTGTAAATAATCCAAGTTAAAGTAATACCACTCTCTTGCCCTTGTTTTTAAAATCAATTTTCTAATAATATTGTCAAAATTATGTCCTTTTTGTGTTAAAGAAGACAAAATAATAATATTAGAGACAGCAATGTAATTTCTGCCATCTTAAATTAATAATGCATATGATTCATCACACTGCTGAGAAAAATGCCTGGGTAAATGTTTGGTCTTTCCTTTTTCTTATTTAGAGAGCTTTACAGAATTGTGGCAAATATTTTCTGCTACTTTTTGATATACAAATAGAACATTTTTCCACTAGTCATGAATCTTATTAAAGTGCTAATTGAAATCCCTATAAGAAGTTTTTAACTAAAGAAAATAGTCCCTTCTTTTTTATATTGAATTGACTAAATAAGTTCAGAATGAAAATTATGCCTTAAAGAAGCAACGCTTCTTGAAATTTTTACTGCAGCTTGATGGCAATACTTTAAACTTATTCTTTTGCTTTTGCAGTATCCTTCTGACTTTTTTTTTTTTAATTAATGATATTCCATCAGGTTTAGGCTTGCCAAAAGTACATACACATATTTTTCTTAGCAAAACCATATATTGCTAAAGAGTATTATTTTTCAAAACTTCACTACAAGTTGATTAGACCCTTTATATAAGCTTGTCTTTTAAGGGCAGAAGGTTTCTCCTGAGGTGCACCAGATTAAGGACAATCATCATATAGTTGATTGCTGATTAAATTGCTCGCATTAAATCTAATTTAATAACCAGGAAAGGATTAACTCTTAAATCCCTGGCAAGAATGTGTTGCTCTGTTTTCCAGACCTATAGATTTTTTTTTCAGTTCCTTCCACAAACTCCTTCTCAAATCCTCTAAACACAATGTCTGGCAGCAGCTCTTTGTAATCTGTTTTTTTGACCTACCACTGAACCATTTCATTATAATATCTTTCTGCTTATGTTTGTTATTCTTTAAAAACAGATACCATTTTCTACCTTCCAGTCATACGTGCAAATTAGCAGAAAGTTGAGAAATTGCTTTAGTTTGATGCAAGTATTAATTTAATCCATCTACAATACCATACGCAAAATAGCTAGAAAATATTACAAAACACTTTCTGACACCACCACTACTCTGAAGTGCCATCTAGTGTCACTGAGGGACAGTAACAAAGTTGCTGTTCACTAATTGTGAAAACGAGGAGAAAATGTGTTTATGGCCTTAGGAAAGAAGCTACACAAATTCATATACATACTCTGCTGTTTCATTTTTTTTTTAAACTTTTAAGTCAGAGTGCATAGCTGTGAAATCAATAGCCTTTTTTGCATGTCCACAGTCGCATATTCTTGCTTTGCACATGGATGTGTTTTTGCTCATCCTCTCTGAACACACAGACTACTCTGAAGTCCCTTTTGCCACAGGAACTGAACTACATCTGTGTAACCTTTTTTCAAAGGAGATTGCCTTATTTCCCATGGTCATTAGCAAGCTATTGCTAGGTGGCTGGGTTTTTTACCATTCCAAATTTTAAAACACCAAAAGGGTTTAGTCAATGTTAATTTAGTTAGAAGTAATTACTTCAATAAAAATAAAAATAAAAATAATAAAAATAAAAATAAGGAAAGGGTCACGTTAATGACGAGCTTGCACAGCACTGGAGGGAAAACCTGGGCTGTGGGGTTTTCAGTATTAAGTACATCATCTTCAAACTGAAATAATGGAACTAAAAATAGCTGATAAAATTTAGCAAAAAAACCCATTACCTTAACAGTTGCTCCAGCATTCCAGCTGCAATAGAGCAAAGTATCTGTGCATCTCCTGAAAAGGCATGAAAACTGTTTGAGTGTCTGAATTTGAACAAACGCTCAAATAACTGGACTTATTAATGGATACATTTAAAGGTGACACAAACCAGCCTCTGGTCTGCTGCCCTGCTTCCTGCTGTGGAAGTTCAGGGCTGTTAGTGCGTCCACCACAAGTGAATGAGGATCAGTCTGGATGCAGGCAATACAGAGGGCTGCTTACCCTGCATGTTAAACTCCATGCTTTCCTTTCTGAGATATACAAAAATGTGGTTTCTTTAAAACTGCTTTGTCAGGCTGTTTTCGTGATCAGTGTGTACATTATGCTGCTTGAAAGCTTTGGAGATTACCTCTGTGTGGGTGTTTTAAGTCAGCAGACTAGAAGAATGTTAATGCTCTGTTACTGCTTAAACTGAGAGTTAAATCTGTGGGAAAAAGAATGAACAGAACTATGAACAATGGTATTGTTTTAATCATATATATATACACACATCTTTTTAGATTAGCACATAATATTAAAAAAAAAAAAAAAGAAGAAATAAAGAGACCTCATAACAAAATCAGAAAATCTGTAGCCTGATAAGAAGCAGTGACGGTCATATTTCTGAATGCACATGTACAGCTGCAGCAAGCAACACAGGGAAGTTGTTTTTGGAAAATAACAAACATTGTAGGCCTTGTATCTGCAAACATTTCCCCATATAGTTCCAATTTCCACAGTTCCAATGCTTTCAGCCAGAGGAACTGGAAGCTACAGATGGACATTTAATTCTGAAGAGAAGATGCCATCCACTGTTTAAATACACATGGCAGGTTTCAAACAAATGAACAAAAAAATTG